CTGTCAATTGGCCATCCTTGACCAGATTTTGAAACAAATTGTCATGGACATGCATCCTGACATGTATAAAGTACATGTACATTGTATGTGCCAAATTTTAATGAAAACTGACAGAGCATGTCCAACATACCGCATAAAAAAACAAAAACAAGATGCCTGCCAGTCAACCATCTTTGATCCAATTGCGAAATAAATCGTCACGGACATGTATCCTAACATGTATAATCTATGTACCAAGTTTGAATGACAACTGACAAAATACAACATTTTCAAAAAACAAGATGGCTGCCAGTCGGCTATTTTGAATCGAATCGCTAAACCACTGCAGGTGCATATGTTCCACATAAGGTACTAGGCACATGCAAAGAATGAACGGAATCGGTCCACAGGATTCTGAAATATGACGTTGGATAGACTGACGCACGGACAGACTCAGGAACTCACGGACGATCGGGAACATGTATCCTAACATGTATGATCTATGTACTAAATTTGAATGAAAACTGACAAAGCATGTCCAAAATACGACATTTTCAAAAAACAAGATGGCTGCCAGTCGGCCATCTTTGATCCAATTGTGAAATAAATCATCATGGACATGTATCCTAACATGTATAATCTATGTACCAAGTTTGAATGAAAACTGACAAAGCATGTCCAAAATACAACATTTTCAAAAAACAAGATGGCTGCCAGTCGGCCATTTTGAATCTAATCGCTAAACCACTACATGTGCATATGTCCCACATAAAGTACTGGGCACATGCAAAGAATGAACGGAATCGGTCCAAGGGATTCTGAGATACGACTCCGGACGGACACACGGACGGACATACAGAGACCGAATTATAAGTCCCTGTTTTCGGACTTCATCCGCACGGGGACTAACAAAGAGGCACATCATACTAATTAGAAAGGTTTATGCAAGAAAAAAACAGATTATTGATAACCAATGCTTTTTGTTGCAAACTGAACATTTTGTAGCACTTGTTTTTAGATGATCAACATGGAAAGTACTACTCACCTGAAGACAAATTGTTTAGATCAGAATCAATCCTGAAGGCTAAGAAGGCATCCAATTCAAAATAGATAAGAGTCTACACTAATTTTTTTTTGCTATTCCTGTGCATAATACCACATACCACAAGACACGTGCATGATTTTACATTTACAGTGTTCACATCAGATTCCCTTTACATTGACGCAATTTACGTCAGTGTAAGAGAAACATGTTACACAGACGTAAAGGGGTTTATAAATGGCAGATTTTAAATATCCCAAGGGGTTATCATCACCAGTGAACAATTACATAATTGCGATAAAAACAAATGAGAACATGTTACACAACCATAAAGGGGCTTAAATATGGCAACACCAGTGACCATTTGCAAAGGATGTTGCAAGTGTACTGCGTTCTTTTCTGAATTTGATGCTTGGTAAACTGTATTTAAGGTAGCGGGACTATTATTTGCATGCTTGTTTTCATCTTCTAATTGTGACCAAATGACTACAAATAGACCCAGAAAAGTATATATTTTTAGAATCGCCAGACTTCAAGCTTTACAAAGGCGT